CCCCGGTCCCCCCATGTCAAAAAAAGCCCGGTCTAGGTAGGGTTAAAAGTCAACAGTTAGCATTATGCAAATAAATCCTAACCAATAATGTAGGGGAGAGCTATCCAACTGTTGCATTCTTAGTTATATGTCACTTCATACCATATTTATATCAATACAAAGCATTGTTTTCCCTTGTATTTCTCCTTCTTTCCCTGCCATGTCATGGAACGAGGTGAAGTCATGCTACATTTGCTCCAAAGCAAATGTAGGCCTTTCTATTTTACCACACCTTTACAGCCTAAGGAATAAAAATGACCCAAAGGCATGTTTTGAAAAAAATTAGTATCTGCGGAGTGTCAAAATTTTTATTGCACGGATTTTTCGATTATTCACCGGAACCTATGACCATAGAGCCAACGATTTTGATTTGTTTTCCATTCTGTTTGTATTATAATCAAGTTGAAGTCTATTTAAGTCTATATTTTGGTTTTGTCGACAGAGGGGGATGGATATTGAAAAGGTTGTTCTTATTGTTACAGCATTACATGTAAAAGAACATCACGTCTTCACCCTGCGATTTAACAACGCGAAAGCTGATCGATACCACACGTTTTTGTTCTTTACTGACATTCTATATTCATGCAGTGTCCATGTCAAAATTTGCATACTTTTGCGTGTGTTCCCGCTTTAACGTAGTGAAGTACAATTAAGTATCTCACGAGACATAAATGACATAACTGTGTAGTTTTTAATTCTTTATTCTGGTATTTTCTTATTACCTCCATGAAATGTGTCATGGAGGTTATATTTACCTCCATGAAATGTGTCATGGAGGTTATATTTTCAGTTGCGTTCATCTGTCCGTCTGTTGGTCAACAAGATAACTCAAGAACGCCTGGATGGATTGGTTTCATACTTGGTGTGTTGGTAGGGTGTGACGAAGACTGGAAATGATTAGATTTTGGTCTGCAGCGCAACATCCGGTTTTGATATCTCGCTATCTGGACATGCTAGGGTCATGAAATTTGGATGATAAATAGCTCTCGTGCTTGGGAAGAAGTCGCATGAGTTTGGCTCGCGGCTTGTTCTGGAACTGCAGGATGGTTTCTTTAAAAATATTCGAGCGAGGATAACTGAACAACTGTTTGATGGATCGTCATGATTTTTGGTATGTAGGTAGCTGAAATGATGCTTGACAAGATTAAAATACAATTATGCAAATCAGGATCTAATTTTCATAATTAATGAGGAAATTCTATAAATCTGCTGTATTCCATATTAGGGCTATGAAACACTTTAGACATATGTAATTGAGAACAACAAGATCATTGGTAGATATTTATTATGTAAATGAAGACCTAATTTGCATAATTAATGGCAAATTTGTACAATTTTATGGTGGTAACTGCTGTGAATTTAATACTTGCCATACTTGGAAGTTCAATTAAGGTGAACATCATAATTTATTCAAATCAGGATCCCATTTGCATAATTTATGAGGAAACGCTAGAATAGCCTTATTTCTTAAGATAACCCTGTCATTGGGCGGAGAATATGATCAAATGATATAATATATGCAAATGGGTTCTTATAATTTGCATATTGGCATTAAAAAATGTATAATTCGTCAGCTTGGATGGCAAACATGAGTTGGCTAAGGTATGTCAGAGGTCATACTTGCATATAACCAACAATATCATACGTTGTCCATGTTAAATGGTAAGGATTTCACCAGTGTGTTGTATGTTACTAGGTAGGGGCTATGTGAATAATTTGTATAAAAATTTTGCTAATGAGCAGGATTGTAAATGTAAGCCATTTATGTGATCATCACTATGCATAAGCTTTACGAAAGCACTAAACATGTCATGGAGGTATGAGATTGTCGAACTCTAGTTATTATTGTTTTTTTTTTTGGTTTGCTTTCGTGCCATAACCCTTCTCCTGCTGGCAAATTTTACATAATATTTTCAAATAATTTCATGTCTTTATCAGGTTACAGACCCTTGACTTTTTTTACCCTGCGGCAGCGTAGTTACTTTCGCATTCGTTGCGTTTCGCTACGGTGTGATGCGTTGCACGAGAAACACCCCCAAATTGCACATATACAGGGCACTATATAGATGGTACTGTATGTACAACCCATATATATGGGCTCCGCAGGACAACGATGAAATGCTGTATTTTCATATACACAGCCAATCTTTGTTTCCTGAAACATGACAACCCACGATTTTATCGTGCACGTTCGCAATAATTTTGTAGCATTTGACGATATGGATAGATATCGATATTTTAGTCAGTAAAACTGCCATGTTTCATATGTTGTCACCATGTGTGCACCATTTAGAGCACACCTGTAAAATACAGGTGTATACAAAATGCAAATGTATCCTGCTCCAGAGGAAACGTTGACAGATGGGTTGCTTTTGTACCGTAGGGTATGGTTATTCGTTAAAATTATCATATATTACACTATTTTGTACATATTGATAGGATATAGTGTTGTGCCCAGAACCCATTTCTTGTGCTTGTAATTTAGGAGAGTGATACAACGGGTAAAATTTAACTAAATGTCAGAATTGCCAAGCTCGGTAAAGCTCGGTAAATGCCTAAAAGGCATGTGAGAAATACCCTATATAGTATATCTTGCTAAATATATGTAAGAAATACCTCGCACGGTAAATGTCGCTAAATAAGTATTTACACGTAACCGGTAAATGTGGGTAAAATATTACCAGCTATACCAACGGATAAACGTAGGTAAATCACTGGTAAATTTAACCTTTAACCGGCCTTACATTTTGTGGTAAATCCCACGCGCAGTGTCTGAGAAGTGTCGACGTGTAAAGTGATCCGTAACCCTACTCTGTTTGTTGTGATACGCAAGTGCCACGTCGCGATGTACTCGTGCACGTAGCATTTGTTATGCGCTTTACTGCTTTAACCCTACCTAGACTGGGGGGGGCTTAAGTGCCCGCGCCAACTTTGATGTCACCTAGCGTCTGAACGGCTAGCGCTAGAACGGCCAAACTTTGTGACTTATCCTAAAATACTGTTGGCAACAATTCTGTATCATTGAAATAAGATAATAATTTCATCATTAAATATGCATAAGTTATGCTATTTTGATGACCTCATTGACCACAATCCAAGATGGCGGACCATATCATCAGAAAAAGGTTTATATAGGTTATTTCCATTAAAATTTCATCAATACTTCCATTTCTTTTTTCCAAAAAGGTTTAAATGAAGGTCTTTAGTATGTCTACAGTGTAAAAAAAATTATTATTTTTTTTTTAAATTCAAGATTGATGATCCAAGAAGGCGGATTCTAAGGGGCGAGTTCTGAGGGGGGGTGTCAAATTTGTCCCCCCCCCCCCCCACCAAGTCCAAAAAAAGCTCGGTCTAGGTAGGGTTAACTTGTTGAATACGGTCAGGTAACGTAAAATTGGAAATTAGATCTGGTCGTAGTTTTTAAATGCTAAAACTCGTAATAACGAAAAGGCTCGACGAAAAGGGAGCAATTTAATGGGCTGTTACGCCGAATCCTGAAACAAAACAGTGCTTTTTGCGTTAACGCCGTCAGATAAATACTAAAGAAATAAAATCAAGTGAACATTATAAATAGTAAACACTGTATATTATAAATCATTATAGACACTTGAATAAACACCCGAGACCAGACAGAAGCTACAGCCTAGTAAAAAAAGGAAACAGGGTACCATCATGAATCGTACAATACACTATCATCACCATGGATTTCATAGCATGAAAACACTACCATACTGGAAACACTTTCTGTATGCAAATGGAAGAAACATAACTAGCTTTACTGGGATGGTAACACTGTAAAATACAAATAGGGTAAAACTCTAAGTACCGGTGCCAGGGAAGAACTATCAAAGATAATATTGAATACTGTGTGGTAAAAGCATAATGCACACAAGTAAACACGCTGGCACAATAAGCGTTATAAGTACCACGGCCAAAGAAATACCGTTTAGAATAGAAAACCAAAGTATTGAGTACAGAAATACCGCCATTTTCTAGGGGAAGGAAATCACATTCTCTACGATTTAAAAAACAATCATCGTTGGTGACAGAAGTGTACCATAAACGTAAAAGACAAAAAGAATATGGGCAGGACGCGAGACTAGCTAGCACACTACCAGTTCCAGGGCGAAAAAAGTTAAGTGTTAGGGAAATGAAAAATACTATCAGGGAATGGGGATCACTATTAGTATAGAATCGTTAGAATACTAGTACAGGACTTACCGGAGGTTCAGCGACAATTCTAACAGAATACTGAAATAAAAACTGCCGCCTGCGACTGGATCTCTGTGTACACTAAAAATGTTCAAACACTAATGTTATGGGCGGCCTCTGAGGTGTGCCGACGTGTACCCGGATCTATATCTCATGTTGTTTGTTGTTGCTGCCATGGTATAGGCAAGCTGCAGAGTAAACGTACATGTAACGTCATGGCGTGGACGAAGCTTTCAACGGTGAGTTACTGTCTTAACTTATTAAAATTAAATCGAATACCTTGCAATATACTTTGGGCCAAATTTTGTCAATTTTTACCTACTGAAATATAGTTGCACTCAGGACAACCAAGTTGATGGGAGGATATACTTGTTAAATCCCCCTCTTAACAATACATTTTTTTCATTTGCCTGCATTCTTATCATTTTAGAATAATAGGAACATTTCACAATCAAGTCAGTATGACTTTGTTATATTTATATACTGTTACTATACAGCCGTTAGTGTACGTGTACATATAATAAAGATGAATCCTGTTTGAGAGTAAACCTGGAAGTTGACCAAAGCAAACGTCCTGGTACACGTCATAAGGTATAGGCACATGGCTGAGCTGGAGATGTTTTCCTAACGGCAGGCCAAACAAGTGGCCAGCATGTTGATAGTATATAATACGGGCCCGAATTGGAGGTACCGTAAGTTATGATACACGGTGTCCGTAAAGTTTAACAGACAAGCGCGAAACAAACACTGACCCACGGCGGTCGGTTGCCAGGCTGAAAGTCGCATTACTAGGGAGGTATCGAGTTACAGAACGTTACAGAGCGTTCAAACGTGGCCGCGCGGGAGTCCTGGGACGGGCCGGGGGTAACGAGTAAAATTTGAAAATAAAGAAAAGTAATTAAAGAGTAAATAGTCTTTAAAATAAAATGTAATAAGTGAATCTGTTTGCCTTAAATGCTATTCTTTTGTTGCCTTTGCTCAGCTTTGTGTACATTTCCTTTCAAATGAGATTAATTTCCGATTCCAAAAAGGTTCACGAGAACCAAACAACTGATTTTAAGGGCTCCTGAAAATAAAAAGAAATAAGGTTAATTTTTTGTTCTTAGGAATATTCAAGTAAATTCGAACATTCTGTCTCAGGTTTCTTTTTTGGTAAAACTCGAATTATAACCAAAAAAGTGCCAAAATTCACTTTTTAAAACTTTAAATACCCATAGTACACCAGTGCAGCCATATTTAAAAAAACAAAGACAGAAATCTGCGAAAATCGTTGTTCTTCCAAACAAGCCCTCGATAAAGTAATTTGAACGATTTTTGCGAGCGGTTAACATACCGTGTTTGCACGCGTGCTATGCTAATTAGATATGGGGACCGGATTAAAATAACAGCTCAAACAAGACTTTTGACCTTTAAGGCCATAAAAATCACAGCATAGATGTAATGTCTTTGAAACGGTTCATATTTGTAGAAAATTGTTTTTTTTTCTGAATAGCAAAGTTTTTTCATCACAACCATTTATTTTTCACGTGACCGTCTGTCATATTCATCAGGGTAGTTCTGACTGGTGTACTGTGCACTGACACTAGATGTTACTTGGTGCATAGTGCACTAAAGGTGTTACATACTTTACAGTGCACTTAAGCTAATTTTCACTGTTTAAAATGCATTCCGGAACGTAGTGTAATTCAGTCACGACGCCTTCACCTGACTAAGAACTTTGCGAACTCCCTTAGACAGTCTGAACAATTCTGGCATTTTCTGCCGCCTGTTAGAAGTGCAATAGGTGGTCGCCGAACCAGATCAGCTTATTAACTGAACACTCCTCGTAGCAGAACTGATCATTATCAGAATAGTGCTCCAGCCTCTATTAACTATTTTAAATTGCTTAAATGAAGTTTTACACTGTTTGGGCCACACTGATTTAATTTTATGGATAACATCCTCTGGGGACCACAAAACTAATGCGAGAGGGCGAAAAAAATCCAGCCAAAAATAAAAGTTGCTTAACCACAGGAATACAAAGCCGATATTGCGGATTGAACCACAGGACACAGTGACTGCATCAAACAAACAAGTTTTTATTTGCAGGAGGTAGATGTAGATAGTCTTATTCAGGTCTCATCCTCCTTCACAGCTTCCTTCTTCGCAGCTTCCTCCTTTGCAGCTTCCTCCTTCGCAGTTTTCTCTCCCTACAGAAAAACGTAAAAGGTATTGCTTGACCTACATTGTAGGTAGATATATACATTATATATACAGCATATAGTTTATATTTTATACCCTGTAGAAGTGCATACAACAAGGGGATTGATTTCAGATAAAAGTTTGAGATCAATATTTTGGGCAAAATGTAACAGGTAGAGCAGAAACATTACCCACCTTAAAGTTAGTGGTCCATCTTCTTCCTCTCTAGATCTCTTCCACTTCGGCTTTCTCTTCACTCCTGCACGCTCTCCAACCATAGGCGGAAGGCCTCGCAATTACCGTCTTTCCTGTCGAAATGCGAGCGATCATGCCGCGATTCAAGCGAGCCGGTCCCGAAGATACCCGAAACGGGCGGGTGCCGAAGGCACCCGAAGATGAAGCCGATCAGCGAGTCCCGAGCGAGGCCGAAGGCCGAGCGAGGGACGAGCGTAGGTAGGAAACGTCATTTCAAACACCCTAATTTTCGGCTAATTTCCTCACCACAGACGGTTGTTTACGTTGCCATTGTCATGTTTGATATCTTATTTGCCCATGGAAACTATCCAGTTGATGATATACATATTACAAAGGACGATACGCGGCATTTTGTAACGCCCAAAATCCTTCATTTCCCGGTATGTGTGTTACCAGCAGTTTGCATGTTACCGCATCGCGGCGCTGCTTCACAAAACAGTGACATCATTGTTAGCCAATCAGGCTTCAGGAAATTTGGTCTATGACCCCGAGTTCCCGCCAAAGCTGTTTTTCCTGCTAGCCTGTCTGCACAAGCTCGCAGAGGCGGAGAATCGGTAAGAATTGTCATTATTTGAAAGTTTTACTGTCGTTAAACTTCTGTATCGAAAAGATAGACGCATAGAATAGTAAACAAAGAGACTGGTATGTTAGTTATCAACCTGACTGGGCCGATATGGCCGATAGGCGGGGAAAGTGAGGGAGGGGGGCGCCCATAGTGTTATATGCTATGAAAAATTTAATTTTTTTTTAAACCAAACGGAGTGTGCACGTGGTTTTCAAACGACGAAGCAATTGAAATTTTGTTGTACTGTTTATGTGTTACAGGGTCCTCTCCACGTTATTTTCCAAGTCTTCTGTGTGCAAGCAATGATGTAGTGGGGCAGGTTTGCTTTTGGTGGTTGTAGTCGCGTAGTAAAATTAGTGTAGTTTTCTAGTTCCTTTCAATAGCATTACGTTACCTGTGTAACGTTATTATTATTTTTGTTCATTGAGTTACACGATGTACTAGGTACACATTTTTGTACAGTGAGTGGAAATTGTTGTTCGCCTGTAGTTTGAAGATGTAGTTACCAGTGTGTATTGTATTATTTTTTTATATTTTCTTTTGTTCATTGAGTTACACTGTGCTCATCAAGCAATGGTGTGCTAGATGCAAATTTTTGTACTGTGGGGGGTGGTATTGTTCTAGGCCCGCTGTCAGATGGTTTCTCTGTCCCCGGAACAACTCCGTGTTTGCAGTTTGGCTGATGATTTCAACATTTTTTGTCACTGGTCGGGCGGGCAGTGGCAAATCTGTTGTAATCAGACGCATAATTGCAAACATGGAGTTGAAGTTTGGTAAAGAAGGCGTTGCAGTTGTGGCTCCCACGGGCAAGGCGGCAGTCCTCATCAATGGACAGACAGTCCACAGCTCCTTCTGCCTTGGCCTAGGCCAAAAAGAAGCAAACCAGATATTCAAACAGCTGGATAAAATCTCATTTGACCGGATCCACAAAATCAAGGTGATCATTTGTGATGAAGTGTCCATGCTTAGCTCTGCCATCCTGCAGAAACTACACACTCTACTGCAGATGATAAAGCAGAACCGTCTGCCCTTTGGGGGTGTTAGACTCGTGTTTGCTGGGGATTTCTTTCAGCTTCCCCCATTGATCTCAGAGAGGATGAACTCACCACAGACTTTTGCTTTTTGAGTGACACATGGGAGAAAGCAATCGATCTGTGTATATTCCTCACTGGTGTATATAGACAGGAGAATCCCCAGTTCCTAACAATGCTGGAGGAGTTGAGAATGGGTCGCCGCATACCTGAATGCCTTAGTCTGATGGCAAAGTTGACAAGACCATTGCCCAAAGTCGACATGCGATTGTATTCACTAAGACGAGATATGAATGCATATAATGAGCGTCAAATTGCTACAATTGAGGGCCTGGAGAGGAGATATGTTGCACAGGACATGGGCACAGCAAAGGCAAGCCTTGATAAACTTTGTCAGGCCCCTCAGATTTTGGTATTAAAGAAGGGAGCACCTGTTATACTCCTTCAGAACCTTTTCAGCATTTCTTCTAAACTGGTCAATGGCGCTACTGGTATTGTAAATGACTTTTCGAATGGACACCCATTGATTACATTTCAGACTGGGGAGACACATATCATAGAACAGCATATGTTTGGCTACTATGAGAATGGAAGGTTAATCGCGTCTAGGTGGCAGTATCCACTGCAACTTGGGTTTTCCATGACTGTCCATAAGAGCCAAGGCAGTACTCTAACCAATATGGAAGTTGTTGACATCCACATGTTTGCACCAGGTCAACAATATACTGCTTATACCAGGGCAACCTCACCTGACTCCTTCCGTGTGTTGCCAGGCTTTTCAAGGCATGTTGTCAAACCACACCCACTTGTCATCAATTTCTATGAATGTAAAGTGCATGCCTTACAAGACCTGGTTACACCAAATATTTCCAAGGGAATGTTGTCCAGTGGGGAGGAAGAGGGGGGCCCAGTACACTTGGAGGGGGGAGGGGACCAAGTACACATCAGCAGCAGCACACAAGATCCCATTCTTGAAGTAGATGAAACCTTTCCCTCTATCGCCATCCCAGATGGCTATGATCCTTGTGTAATTATACAGTTACTCAAGGATGACCTTAGTCCATTTAAGAACCTACTTGATCTGGTTCTTCATCTTGATGTACAAAGAGAGAGCCTCCGGTCCTTGTTTGCATATCTGATTCTTCAATTGGAGGGGCTGTGTCAGGAAAAAACACTGGACAAAACAAGAGGGAAGGACGTAATAACAAGAAAGGCATTTACTTCTCACATAGGAAAAATCATGTCACTCACAGGAGATAGGGAAGCTAAGGCTAGATGGAAACAAGAGACCAATACCTCCTTGCCACATGAAGCTGACACCGTGCTGACGAGGCTCATAACCGTAATATATAAACATGTGGCCAAAGTCAACGACCCAGCTTCAGAGTTGAAAGAGAAGTTGGAGTCTGACTTAGAGCAAGTTCAGCCAAACAGAACACATTACAATGCGTCAAAAGCTAACTGTGGCAAAGTGAGGTACCTCATGGGATGGACAGTCTACAGGGTCTTCACAAATCTTGAATCGCAATTGAAAACACTACAAAAACACACATTCAAGGGGAAAAAAGCAACAGAAACTGAGGCCAGAATCATTGAACTTCGGGCACTAAAATCCTTGTGCTGTTCCATGACGGGAGATCAGACCAGTCTGCAACTGAATTCAAGATACAAATTCAGTCTGGAACACATTGACAGGAGGAATAGGGGTGGACTGTTTGTTGTCAATGACAATATTTTCTTGTTTGGCATGGCCCTAGAGTCACTTTGTGGGAAACTCTTCCGGGTAGAAGTAGTAGACATTCTTCGGAAGGAGTCCACAAAGACTATCTCCAATATTGTGAGGAACAACCAACTCCTGAAGACGCTTTTTGTTCAGTATTTGAACAATGACTACATACCTGATGTCCAGATTACCTTGTCACACATACCAGTAAACATGGAGGAGGACCCTGCATCAGTACCTGAGGTGGATCCAGTACACATGGAGGGGGAAGTGGATCCAGTACACATGGAGGGGGAAGGGGATCCAGCACACATGGAGGGGGAAGGGGATCCAGTACACATGGAGGGGGAAGTGGATCCAGTACACATGGAGGGGGAAGTGGATCCAGCACACATGGAGGGAGAAGGGGATCCAGCACACATGGAGGGGGGAGTGGATCCAGTACACATGGAGGGGGAAGTGGATCCAGTACACATGGAGGGGGAGGGGGACCCAGTAGACATGGAGGGGGACCCAGTAAACACTGAGGGGGGTCCTACACCAGTGCAAACTATAGAGAAACTCTGTAGTTTGATCATAGCAAAATACCTCAACATGAGGAACAAAGAGTTTTTGAGACCTCTGTCAGAAAAGTTAAATACACAAAAGGAAACTGCACTAAGGCCAGCACTACAGGCCAAGTCAAAGAAGTCTTCCATGTTAACGTTTACATCATTTTTGGAAGACAAGACAGCTTCAAAAGAGTTCTCTCACCTCCACCTAAAATCACTTGCAGTGAAAGGGGCAGACAGTTTCAGTATTTTCACTGTTGCGCAAATCAAACTGTTCCTACTCTGCTACGGGAAGACCACAAAAAGTACAAGCAAGAAAGATATCATGAAAACTCTCACTGAAGTACTGAAATCAAATGACAGCATGGTTTATTCACATCGTCTCACATCAAAGAACCTTGAGGATCTCAAAAAAGGCAAGGTTCCACAAGTACAGAACATACAAGTAACACCACCAGAGGATCATCCACCTGTGGGAGCCACCTCAGTTGATAATAACTTAAACAACTCAGCTACTGAAAGCACACAGGGCAGAGAGACTGTTCGACAGCGGGCTCGGAGGTTTTGTCCCACTGAGGACCAAATCCGAATTTTGAGGGATGACCATGTGAATGGTAACCCAGTTCATCTGCACCAAACAAGAGCAGATCAGTTTGGGGTACAGTCCTCTCAAATAAAAAGATGGCATACTTCATTCAAGAAAAGAAACAATCCAGAATGATAAATAAATACGTTATTATATATGTTCAATTGAAGACTAAAACAAATCACTGTAATATACATGTAAATGTGTGCATCAGTGTTTTAGCCAGCCTGAAATTTTTTGTTGTCACATGTAACATCATGTCGAGCCAAAGGCATGGAGCATTGTGCCATGACGTATCCTTACATTCCAATTTTTGTCCATCAACTATGATGGATTGGGCCAAATTTTAGTCTTTCATGAGCAGCAAGATTATGACAGAAAGATGGACGCTGGCTAGAACACTGGTGTCAATATATGTTTTGGAAACACCGCCCTTTCCAAAATTAGTACAATGTATATGTACACACAGCTATAAGAAGTTTAGAGTTAAGTTTTGCCCATTTTAGTGCATTGTACATGCTACATGTATCTAGAGGGCTATTTTTAACAAGAGTTCTACATGGTAGTACATGTGCAACATCCAAATTGTTGTCAGTACATACCAAAGAAATCAACAGGAAGGAAACAATATGATGCAATCAAAGTTGTCTGGCTTTAGTCACACTAAATAACATACACCAAAGGTTTTATATTATGTTAAGATTGTATCACAGGTTGTATTTAAAGTCCATTTCATGTGACATATTTTGTATCTGAATACAACCTAGTATGAAGGTGTTACTTGACATGGATAATTTAACCCCAGAAATGGATCAGTACTTTCTAGATGCATTTCCATTTCGGACTTTGAAAGAACGGCAGTGGATATATCCATTCACAGATGGACCTGAGGAAGAAAATGAAATAGGGTTAGAGGTCAATCATGTAACAAAATAGATATGGACATGTATTTTACTTGAGTAAAAGTTATGTGACAAAGCCACCTTTAGCCATACCTGCCCCACTGAATTTCTGCACACATGACAGGTAAGACATCCCATTGTGAATCACATTGTATGAGTTTGTACATGTAGGAAACGATTTGAATAGAAAATGATGTAACATACAGTAGATAAATGTTAGTATTTTTCTTACCATACTGCAGAATGGTGGGGTTGGTGTTACTTCCATTTGATGCACGGACACAAACGAACATATTTTCCAAGGCATCCTGGTTGGTATGGGCAGACACTAGCCCTGTCCCTGGAAACTGGGTTGTCATGGTGTGGACATATGACTTAAAACCAAGCACCATGGAACATAGGTCAAAGTGTAGTTTGTCAGATATATATGATTTATTTCTCTCCTTTGCTGTTACATTGACACTTTCCTTTACTTCCTGATTCCAATCCAGGAACCATTGCAGGGCTCCATCTAGTTGCACTAGCCTGGGGTCATCCATTGTCCTACAAAAAAGAACCAGATAGAAGGTAATCAACACATGCTTATCTAAGAAAACATTGGAAAACATAAAAAGTGTATTGTTCTTGTATCATGCAAGTAGGTCAGGGGCCTCCTTGTTCCATATAAAAACCGATATCATAAATTTTTTTAAGTTTGAAAATGTTCTAATATATTTTTAGTTTTACAGTTATGAAAGCTGTTATAGACCCATGTAATGTTTGCCTTTTTAATGTTGTAAGAAACATGCTAAAGTAACTTTAATACATCACCTTATTATTTCACCTATTATGTAATCTAAAGAGGTCTGTCAGCGTGTGGTGGAAATCTAACCTTATTGGTTTGGTGTTGGCAAACGTTCTGACAAACACATTGCCTGCAACCAGGTATTCTCTTGTTTTGCTCATGGAGTCCAGATCCCCCTTCTGGTCTTTCTTGAATTCCTGGTAATTCTGAAAATGAAAAGACAGTATATCATACATGTCAAAGAAGTGAAGTTTTGTTTCACTGTACTTTACAAATACAAGTATAATGTAATGGTCAAAATGTTCTAAATGCAGAAAAGATGACGGACGGAAAGTGAGCAACCCACGTCCAACAGTTCAAGCATGTCATTGCTGAATACATCTGCTGCGAGGTGGTTACGCATCCGTGTTGCTGGGGTGAGCTGAAAATGGCCATCCTTGATTTTGGAGGATGTCACTGGTGCCCTGGCATTTGTTTTGTCATGAAGGTAAGATTCTTTCAAGTGTGACCAAAGGATGTGCTTCCCTCCCACCTTGAAGCTTCTCGCTGTTCCTGTCATTGTACTTTTTTCCAGGTTGTTTCTCAGTTTTTTGATGTGCTGAAAAAAAGGGTGAAAAATTTAGATATACAATTGGTTTTCAAAATTATTAGAAGAGTAAGCCATATGGACAGTAACGTATACATGTCAATGTGTAATTTTTTTGAGTGGTGCTTGAACTTACGGGTGGATCCATGATGAAGGCATAGCTGCTATCTCCATACATGTTGTTGATTGTGAAGTGGTTGGTAATGGCATCATCACTGGACTTGAAGTGTGCAAGGATAAAATCTCGATTTGCTTGGCCCCCGTCACATAAGCAAGCACGTGAATAGAATTTGAACTGTTTTAGATAGAAAACACTGTCCCAGTGGCAGTGGAAAATACTTATCGGTGCGATTTCTGTGGTTGGGAACCAAGCAAACGGGAAGAAGAATCCTTCACACCCTTTAAATGCCAGCTGGCACACATGTGTGGCCATCTCAGCCTTTTGGTCCCCTGTAGATTATGGAAGTAAGCAGACAGAAGAAAGGAATTATCTTTATGTAAGAGAAAAGCAACCCAAAAAAAAACTCATTACAGTCATACAAAAATAAAGGTTTGATTCAACTCAAAAACAAATTTGCACAGATCATTAGCCTTACCTGCTGTCTGAAGGGACCGCATGCTGTGGTAGAAGTCCCCCAGGTCGACAAGGCCAGCTATTTCAAATTGATCGCCCACCCGGCGGAGCTGGATGCTTCCCTGGTAGTAGTAATACACAAGTACACAAAATGATCAGTGTCAAAGGAGACAAAAAGTACAACTTAACACTAGCATCCATGCATCCAGTATTTAAAGAGGTGCTTAAAAACACCAAGTAGACAATTTTACCTGTATTTTTATTTCGTCGAAGACTATGAAGCCATGTCGCCCTCTTTCAGTCACACCTTGCTGTCTTGCCTCATCGTCCATCCACTGCATAACTTCTGCATGTAGACCAGGCCTCTGATTCACCTTGTTTTTCTTGTACCGCAGGAGTCTCTCTGACGGCAGCTTCAGAAACCCACTGTCCCGGAGGTCTGCGTATCCTTGCTTGCTCCGTTGCCATAGTTGTAGACAGACGTCCAAGAATCTGAGGTATGAAATAAATACTGCTAGTTTTGGTTTCACACCTTAAAAAAAACTTCAGCATGTACAACAAAAAAAGGTGACAAAGCAAACCAATAAATAGTAATCTACAGATGTATTTCTTGCACAATTTGTGAAATCCTGGTACTAAATAAACATTTTATAAATAAACATAAACAATACATTTTATTACAATGGAAACTCACTCTGCATTCCATTGATTCCTCTTGTTTTGCACATGGTCTCGCTGAATTGTCCACAGGAGCCTCTTTCTGGGATCATTAGGGAACAGCTTGGTCACATCACTGTCTATGTTGTTGAATATGTCGGTCATGTCCTTATGGTCTTCCTTTGTGAGCTGTATAGACTCTTTCAGACTGTCGTACTTTCCTTTGTAGTAGTCTGTTTTACTCTCTGCTTTTGTTCGTCTCGTTTGTTCGGTGTTGTACTTTTGCCTCTTCTCTTGGTCACTCATATAGTCCCATCTTTTTCTTTTTGCAGGGATCTGAGGGCTGTCACCTGATGCACGCTTCATTTTGTCACGCCTCCAGCGGGCCTGCTTTACTGCAGAGCGTAAAGCACTGCATTTGGTACAGCGAGCAACCTTTGACCCGGGCAGAGCATGCACCCACTGACTGCATTCCAAAGATCGCATGACCTGTTGTGGTTCTCCTGTTCTGTCACAGACAGACTCTACGGTAGCTTTTAGTGCAGGGTACTGTGTTTCAGTGTAGACATTGCCTTGTAGACCTTCACATGCAGGAATGTCAGAGATTGTTAAAAGAATTTTTTCTAAGTCCCTCAGACCGTTTATGTGGTTTGTTATGCCCAGTCTTGTCAGATCTATTTCTACACCGTTGTATGAGGCAGACACCTTGAGAGAGTCAGAAATGGTCAAAACTCTGCAGGGTTTCAGACCGTTGACGAACTTTGCATCGGGCTTCCAGAGTTGGATTGAATTCTGGGACTCAGTCACACACCAGTTACTCTCAGTACATTTCTGACTCCTGGCAAACTGCAGCAGCTGGTCTGTTGTGATAGGAGATGTGCATATTGGTGGAGAACTGGCAGTAGGTGAGATGTTCTCGTTGTTGTAGGCTGTTGTAGCAGATGTGCATGTCAGGGGTGGAGAACTGGCAGTGGGTGAGATGTTTCCTTGTTGTCAAACTTGTGCAAGTTGATGTAGAACGATGTTAAAACGAGTTAAGGTTGAAGTGTTCGCAAGATTATGTATACATAACAAAAGAGCATGTAAATAACAAAGTTGTTATTTTCATACAAGGAGATGTTCTATTTTTGTAAACTTGGAAGGTTAAAGTGTTTAAGTTATCATGTGTATGGTATGGTATAAAAAAAGGTATTGAAAGAGTTCTTATTTCTATACAAGAAAGTATTCTCCTTGTAAAACTTCTACAAGTAGAATGATGTGAAAACTAGTTAAGTTTAGTTGAGTTTATTGTGTATGAAGTGTTCACCAGATCATGTGTATGACCAAAAAAGACTTTTAGATTAGAAAATTGTTATTTTTATACACTTAGGTGGACTGTTCTCCAACTTCATACACCAAATGAGGACAGGAAACAAGAATATATATGCTGAGTATTACATGTACCCAATGAGTTTTAAAACTCCTTGATTTACTACTGACAATCCTGGTAACCTTCCATAACTAGCCTGCCAGCAGACAGGCTTTGCAAAACTCAACGAACAGTCTATTTATGGGTGTATAGCTTACTACCTCATCACCTGATACCATGTGCTGATACAGTATTCAAAAAAAAAATATTTTTTTAGCTGTTAGTAGAGCACCTGTTGTGCCATGATATTGTTAAATGTTGCATACCTTATGTTCTGTAGAGTTTCTAAAAATATATTTATGGCTGTATCGCTAACTACCTCATCACCTGATACAGTATTCAAAAAAAGTAATTTTTTTAGCTGTTAGTAGAGCACCTGTTGTGCCATGATATTGTTAAATGTTGCATAACTTATGTTCTGTTGAAGTTTCTAATATTTATTTCTATTACAGAGTTAAAGTATATTTATACCATGGGTTCATTAAAAAGATCCAAAAGCAGTTGACTTGTATAACTTCTCATTAAATCCACAGAAGAAAAATTTACACGATTTTGAAGATGACATTTCTGATCTAATAATGTGCATCAAAGGATATTGTACACTTTTGTCGATCTTCAGCCTTTTCTTCAACACTGTAGGGAAGCACTCCTTAATGGTCCTTCCAAACTTGTCCAGAGAAATCCCATCTGTGTACGTTCTGTTGTAGGTGTTGTAGGCGTCCTGTACACTCAAATAGTTGCCTTCCTTTTGAGCAAACAAGTGCCTGAGTCTAACACAATTAGCAGAAATGTAAGTGTTGACGAGTATTTGAATCACAACCACTCAAAACTTCCACAAAAGAAACATAGGCCCCATGCATATGACAAGTTGTAAAACCACGTAAATTGTGTAGTCTAGTATCGCCAGTTTATTTACCAAAATGCTGCAACAGCCAGCTGAAGAATAGACTCATAAGTTCTGGAAATATCCATGCATTGATTTTCGATAAATCTGCATCTGCGCGAGACCCTCTTACTTCCGGGTTGTCTACGTTACCGGCCACGAAAAATAAGACAAAATCAGTGAAAAACTTCCCGTTTTCCCGATTAAAACGTACCTGCAGTTCAGTGTAGCCTTCGTCAGCATGTTGAAACTCCAAAGCCGTTTACATAAGCCCCCGAAATAACTGACGAGGCGCCGAAACAGGCGAGGATACCCACAACGCAGACCGAACACCCTATCTGGTAACGCAGATCTGGGACGACGATTTCCTACCCAGTAAAATTTTTGAACTACGGCGAAAGTTAGCGCAAAGGGTGACGGGAAATACTGGATCGCGCAAGGGGTGTCGGGAGATACTCCCGGAAGTAGGACGTAGGCGCGCTCGGAGATCGCTATTATTGGCCAATATTGGGTCCGCGGAGCAGGGGCCTAAAACCCATGCTCCAACACCAGTGGCTTTGCACACCTACAGAAAAATGACATGGTATGCAAAATTGATTTACTTGGAATGTATGTTAACAAATAAAATTGAAATAAAGTGTATTGTAAGTTACAACATTACTAATTCAGGTGAGAATGAATGTACAATTAAAACATGAGGTACACAATAATATTTAACCTACCTGGCACACTGAGTGAATGCTCTGAAACTCTTGCAGTTTCTCTGGAGGGATGGGAAGCGTGTCTGTTTCCCTGTCAGCATACCAGTGGCAGAATGGTCAGTGCCCTAGACTTGACTTGTGCAGAGTAGTAATACACCTCCACTGGTGCACTACGTGAAAGAGCCCTGCACAAAACGGATGTGAAACAGAGAAATAAAAATCGTTTTTCAAAGAGGAAATTTTGTGAAAATTTGCGAGAGCTCAATATTGAAAAAAAAAAAACACCCAACAGAAAATCAACAAAAACTTGGATGAAGAAATGCATCTTGTTGGAAATTTGCCATATGATTACAACATCATAATCTACAAACAACTACTGTAAATCATAGACAACTTTATTTTGTGTGTATCATAATACGTGTACGCACCCCTCCACATAAATTTTGCTGCGTTCCCAGATTCTGGATCGAAATCAGAAAAACAAACAAACCTGACTTCTGCTGACTATCTTCGGCTTTAGTTGTTGAAATTTTGTCAACAACAGTACGGACAAAACAGCCGAACTGAGCTGAGAAGTGGCCTGACCCACTTAAATTTAGGCCACCATATACCTCAACTCCTCTCCCATTTCTCTCATCGTTGCAATAGAAACGCGTGGAGGCGGCACTGGAAAGGACGTCTGTACGGGCGATACTCGCTGGCTACCACGAGTCGCTCGTAAAGCTGGGCCAACGTTACATCCCCCTCACCAATGTCGATGGCATACCAGTCGACAACAACGCCTCCAGTTTTCCTCTGCACTTCGACGTATTTTTAAGAGGACGTTGCCGCCATCTTGCAAACTTCGTGGGCTACATTGTTATTGTAGCTAGTACACATGTGCAAAAGGTTCATTTACGACAATAATTTACGTTTTGCGGTAGTACAAACAAGTTTTACGATACGCCGCCCTTTTGCGGCATTCATGAGTCGGCAGTCTGTACCGAGTTCCAACCGAGTTCCGTGAAGCCTCAAAAGACATGATTTTTTTAGAACAAGCGAAAATCAATGCGCGCGCGGATGTCATTCAAAAAATTAACTCGGTGTGGCCTTATGTAATGTCCCGATGTCCGTTTTTAAGACAATGTTGTTGTCACTGCAAAAATATTGATAATATATGCACCTTGAACAATATGCCTTCAGGCAGCCATGTCGATGACCTCTGACCCCAAGCCCAAAGGCAACTAGGTCCAAAGCCATACCATTTTAGTTTTCAGAGTCAACATTCAAATGACAGCAGAAAAAATTCAAATGGCAGCAGAAAACTCAAGCAAACATATTACATTGAAGAAAAATTGACGACATGAAAAGACTCGCAGGTGTTAAAACACAGGTTAGAATGTTGGGATCAGTTTTGACCCCACTGAACCAATTCAATTCTTTATTAAAATACCAAACATAACAGACAAACATGACATACAATGTTGCCTGAATGGCGTTGATATTTACAAATATACAAATATACAAAATATCATATATTTACAAAATCTATAAAACAGTACAGTAAGGTCCATTATCTTGTGCCAGACTCTGTGTAGTCTGGTTATAGAGTTTGATTGACTGGTGAAGGAAGGAGTTCAGTAGTCGTTTCGTTCTGGCGAGGGGATAGATATATTTCTTTTGTTACTGAGTGAACGGCCGGTAGCTGTAAATCTGGAGAGAGGGACAAGGTCATGTAGGGGGTGATCTTCCCGTAGCATCTGTGTGAAGAGCTCGAGTTTGACGGCAGCATCCTCACGCCTTGACTTAAGGGTAGGTAGTTCGGGCACATCACGCCTGCCCCCTCGGCTGATAATGCGGAGGGATCGCCGTTGGACACGCTCCATCACACGCCTCTGTTCCTTGCTACATCCAGCAAGGAGGACATATCCATACTTATGTACAGGGCACACGAGTGCCAGGTACACTAAGACTAGGTCTGCGACACTGGTCCCTTGTTTGCAGAGTTGCTTCAGATAGTGAAGTCTGCGAGAGGCTTTTGGACTATGGATACTTGGATACTTTATTCAATCAAACTGTCGTACACAAATACACGGATACGCAGCTAATCTTTCTGGACCATAAAAACATGGAACAAGGGCATACAAAATACATAAAGGCTAACATCTAGTATTTACAATTACAACATGGTCAATCAATTAGAATCGTTAATATACATCACGAGCTCCTGCCGAAACCTACACTTACTAGCGCTAATTTAACCGCCATCAGGTAAAGTGTTCCATGTGGCAGGAAGACGAGTACAGCTGTAACAGAGGGAGAAGAGAGCCACGGAGACTTTGTTAAGAAGATAAGTACAGCTGTGACAGAGGGAGAACACAGAGACTGTGTCAAGAAAACGAGTACAGCTGGAACAGAGGGAGAAGAGTGCCACAGAGACTGTGTTGAGAAGACGAGTGCAGCTGTGATAGAGGGAGAACACAGAGACTGTGTCAGGAATTCGAAGACGAGTGCAGCTGGGACAGAGCGAGAACA